ATGGTAAAGCTACTATGAGCCTTGGTCTACTTTTAACTTCCAAGGTGTCACCATGCTGTGAACTCATGATTCCAAAGTGTCACCATCCATTGAATTCACAGTTTATCATGGTTCCTTGGATCTGTCTATTAGCAAGGAAGCCAGAAGAAAAGCCCTCAATGCAATTGCTCACGGGCCACATGTCACTGTACACCTCTACATTAGGGTCCCATTCAGCCATGGTCACACCAGGTGCTTTGGGATTACAGCGTGTAATAGTTAATACTGACAGTAACTTGACAGGATCTAGAATCATCCAGATTTCTGGCCATGTCTGTGATGGAGTTTCTAGATTAGGTTAATTGAGGACGGAAAAAATCACCCCAACTGTCCCCATGGGTATGAATAAAAAGGAGAAAGTGAGCTGGGTACCAGCTTCCATCTCTCTGCTTCCTGACTGTGGATGCGGTGTGACCAGCAACCTCACACTCATGCCTTCTCCGCCATGATGAACTGTAAGTCACAATAAACCTTAAGTTGATTTCATTGGCTATTTTGTCACAGCCACAAAGAAGGCATTAATACATCTGATCCAGGAAAGAGGCACCACGTACTCTGTGGGTTCACACAAGTCATCAGACAGCCCTCTGGGTCCCCCAAGCAGCAGATGTGATCCTCATAAAGGGCACACAGCAAGGGGAACGCCATTCCTAAACCACTGAGATTTGCCAAAGCAATTGATGCTCTGTTCCCAAGCTCAGAGCAGCTCTAGGGATACAGATTTGCTGTGACAGCTACAAGTATCAGAAACAATGACACCTCTCCCCAGTGTCACTAAAAGAGTAAGCTGTCAGGAAGGTAGATTCTTCTGAGATACAAACAACGCTTTGGTCTCAAAATGACAAGACTCTGAATCCTAGGTAATAAAAAGCAGCAAATTGAGACCATGTTTCCTGCTACTGGACAATATGGGGACCTTGTGTCACTTCTGGGAAAGTGAGTGAATCTGCTTTCCTGTCCTTGAACTTGTCCAACATAGTAACATTTGCGGAGATTATTGCATGTGGAGATGAATAAGCCATTAGCGTCATTTTAAAAGAATGCACACGCCTATAATCTCAGTGCTTGGGAGGTGGGGGTGGGCAGACTGGATATGAATAGGGAGTTCGAGACCAGACTGGACTAAATGAGATCCCATCTCAAAATAAGAGAAAAAGACAGGGGAAGGGGAGCTGGATAGATGACTCTGAGGGTAAGGGTGCTTGCCATCAAGCCTGACAACCTGAGTTCAATTCCCTTGGGACCCACAAAATGGAAAGGAGAGAGCCAACTCTCACTCCTGTAACCTCTGCACCCTCAAGCACGCCCGTGTGTGCATGCATACACACACACACACACACACACACACACACACACACACACACACCAGAAAGAGGGGGAATAAATAAGAAAAATCAGAAGATGAATTTATTTGCTGGCAAATTCAAAGCATAGCTAGGAGCTGGAAGTGGTGGTACATGCCTTCATTAATTCCAGCACCGAGAAGGCAGAGACAGGCAGGCCTCTGCAAGTTTGAGGCCAGCCTGGTCTACATAGCAAAAAGAAACTGCAGAAGCAGAGACTGAACTGCAAAACAACAGACTCCTGTTGAGATCTGCAGGGCTCTGCTAAGAAGCCTAGCTCTCATCATCTCCTTGAATTTGAAAAGACCTTACCTTAAGGAAGTCCTGCAGCCTCAGAAGCCCCCCTAATTGGTGGGGTGACAGTGACTTTCATGTACCTATCCCCATCCCTGCAGCATTCAGGTAGGACTGAGATTTGAACCCAAGGCCACCTACCCACCAGTTGTAGCTCAGAAGCAACCACTCTGTGCTGAGAAAAAAAAAAGCCCCCAGGATCAGCAGGGACCTGGGTGGCACTTAGGAAGCATGAGGTGATGATCAAATGCAAAGAACCTGGATCATTAGTGACCCAAAGCCTCCCATGATTACCTATTATCTACTACTGGATTCCTACAGCCGTAGGAAGAGGGCCTCCTAGGTTTGTCTCGGGCAAGTCACCAGTTCTTGCATCTTGGGGACATGTAATTCAGAACAAGTGCATTTGAAGGATCACTAGAAGACTTCTCACACCTCATTTCTGATCACCGTGACAGTGGAAGAATTGCTTGGGGGTCAGGGTACATGAAGGCATCCAAAGTATAGACCCCAGGCCTGCCACACCCTCACTGACATGAAAGCTGCAGGTGCATCATGACTTCCTCTGGAGCTGGGACCCCCCCCCCAACAGTGAACTCTCAGATGCTGTCTCCATCATTCTTCATGGTCCTGCTCAGGTCACATCTCCAGTGGGCATGGGGCTCCCGTAGTGTGAGATGTTTCCCGCTAGGGTCAGTCAAAACCCTGGATTCTCAGATCCTTCTTGGATGTCCACATGAACAGAACATGTGTCTAGTGAGGAGACTAAGACTGAGCCATGAACACCGTATGAAGGGTTTAGGAGTAAGCAAAGGACACGCGTGTGCCTGGGTTCTAAACATACTTCCCTCCCAAAGTGGATGGATCACTGTGAACCCTAACATGTCCAGACACAGGTCTGACTTTCTTTTGCCCATAGGTCACAGGAATTAAACGGCCCTTTGAGCACAACCCCTTAAACAGTTCATAGTGGGTCTCCATTATTGACGCATTAACAAAGCTGTGACCTCAAACATAACAAGTCAAGGTGATGCTCAAAATGGTTCCGAACTCAGGGCACAGACACCAACCAATCAGGTTCGATCAACACAGCTGCTTTCCAGTGTCCAGAGTCTGAACCAGGGGGACCAGCATGAGAGAGGTAAACACCAAGATGCAGTTTCCATAGCAATGGTGATGCTGAAGAGCCCTTGGAGGAGGAGCAGCCAGGATTTCACAGGATCTGGGCCATGGGGAGATCGGGAGAGGTAAATGCCAGGATGCAGTTTCCACGGCGACAGTGATGCTGAAGTAGGCTTCACTACCAGAGGGTTATGAAGGACTCAGCCACCTGCCATCACCAAGGAAGATAAACACGAGTGGAAGGTTGTTGGGGATCCCAAGAGAAGCTGAAAAATCCTGATTCTTATGTGGGATTTTCTAGCTCTTCACCATCAATTCAAAATGCAGAAAACAAAGCAGCACACATGCAGGAGAGCTGGTCCAGAGGTTTCGGTCTCAGAGCATGATACGGGTACTGTGCCGTCGACGGTCCCTAAGGAGCCAGACGAGGTGGCTCGCCTGAGGGCCTCCATCAGGCTCTGCAAGCTACACTGGACACAGGGGAAGTCCATCCCACCCCCTCATCAGCTCCCCCCATAAAGGGTCCTCACGAAGAATCCAACAGAAAGGCCTATGATGTTTCCATAGTGTTCATCACACATGCCTGACAGAAAGTCCTGAAGCCAAATCCAGCCATTCCAGGACACATGTTCAGGTGTTTCCCACACCCTCCACCCTCCACCGCAACCCCTATCCCTACCCAGCCACCTGGTAGGAGGAGCTCAGCAATTCAGCTAAACTGGTTGGTCAGTGAGACCCGGGAACCTCCTGTCCCTGCAACCTCCAAAGCTATGGTCACTGGTGTGCACCATCATCCCTGGATTTTTTATATGCGTGCTGAGGCATTGAACTCGGGTCCTCACTCTGTGCAGCAAGTACTTTACCCACTGGACCATCTCCCCAGCCTCCTGCCTTGTTTTCAAAGATTAAAACTTCCCTACTGTAGCTGGGAGAGGTATAAGATAAGAACATCCTGTGGGTGATGAGGAGCACACCTTGTTTCTGAGCCTGGAATCTTCAAGAAATAATGAAGAGAGATAGGGTAAGAGGCAGTTACAGTATAGCTGGGTCCCATGGCCTCAGAGGTGCCCACATGGCTAAAGGACAGTGATGCCAGGCGGATCTACCAGGGGTCCTGGCACCTGTGTACCTTCTTACGAGGTTTCTGGAATGTGCTGTGCAGAGGGACTCTAGCATGGACTGCAATGGGTTCCCCAAAGCAGGCACCATTTCTCCTCATTCAGCTGTAATTTTCTTCCTTCATTTTGTATCAAACACATGCAAAGTGCAAAGCTCCAAGCCCTTCACAGTTCCCTCATAGAAATGATTCGGGAATCTAGGACTGTGCACAAAAATGAGCTGCCATTGAACTCCTGGGAGACTCAGTTGCCCTGCAGCTCAGGTGGAGGACATTGCACACTCCAGTGGGAAACCCTGCTCAGCAACCTTGAAAACCTAACCATACTACTCATGTTCAAAGTTTAATGTCTTTTCCTGGGCACTGGACTCGCTGGCAAAGATAGAGTGCCAGGCATGGTACACAGGGACCAGAATGGAGTGCCAGGCATGTTGCATGCACAGGGACTAAGAAGGAGTGCCAGGCATGCCAGGCATGGTACACAGGAACTAATATGGAGTGCCAGGCCTGGTACACAGGGACCAGGATGCAGTACCAGTCATGGTACACAGGGACCATGATAGAGGGCCAGGTACAACGCACAGGGACTTTGCAAATGCAGCGGAGGCTTTGACATTTTTCTGTGAGTCTCCTGAGATTTTTCTGTGAACCTGCACTGTGGGTAATGGTGTCTCTGGCTTAGGTTTTTGTTTGTTTCATCTTTGATCATTCTCCTGGAACTTTCCCTAGTATTTCTATCCTTTCCCACGGATCCCCTGGGTGGGGAAGGTTAGAAGAACTGACAGCAGGGCTAAGCTGGGCTTCCCGAATTCTCCTTCAACTCCAGGACTGGCACAATTGTGCAGCTGAAAACTTATGTGTGTGCCAAGGTGCCACAAGGGAAGACACTACACATTGTGTGAGTCCCCATGCATAAGCCCACAGCTTTTCAAAACAATTTCTCCCATCAGCAAATTATCCCTGGCTGTCATCTCAAACTTGCCAGTTGGCATTAAACTCCAATTGACTCTGGAGTGTGTCCATGGAGCAGCTGACCTCAATAGAATCCCTGGGGTACTTTTTCTATCTAATAAAGAGACAGGGTAGAGAGTGTGTATATTTTATGTTCAGACATGTCATAAGCCAGTTGAAGTAAGATTAGCCGTTATCTAAGATTCCATCCAGTTCTGAGAAGCTATGATTTTGTGGATATTAAATAGACCAAGGGCAAGCATGATGGATTTAAATAAACTGTGGAATGCAAACAATGAGATTAACTCCACATCGCAGTGACTTATCCATTCACATTGGGTAAGGGTGCCTCGGGGAAGTAACGTTAACACTGGGTCATACCCAGTGCTACAGCTATGCACTCGTTTTGTGTCTGGTAGCAAGCATCAGATCTTACTGTGCACATTGTTGCCACCCAACACCAGCATCAGGACCACGTTGGCTCAGAGAAGTCCTTGGGAAGGGCATCCCGACCTCGAAAAGTACCTCCTTCTTCCCCTTGCTTGTTTTCTTCTTCATCATCCATGAGTGTCGCCAGCAGTGGTGGGAGGTGAGTCACTGTTTCATCATGGCAGTTGGGAGTAGGTTCTGGTCTTGGAGATGCAGGTTAGCCTTCACAGAGCATCCAGGGTTTTCCGACATCACCCACTATCAGTGGCTTTTGTGGTTGGCATTTATTTGCTTGTTAATTTTTCATTATGCTTTTATTTATTACTTTTGCATGCTTGAGGGTGTTGGGCTCCTGCAGATCAGAGACTACCTTGCAGGGATCCATTCTCCCCTCCCTGCCCCTATGTGGGTCCCAGGGACTTGAACTCAGGTAGTCAAACTCAATGATAGGCACGTTTACCCGCTGAGTCATTTCATTTCTCATTTCCCATTTCCCAGAAGGCTTTGGGGGCATTACCACTGTGCTTTTTTCTATGTCCACGCGTCATGACCTTTTGATTTCATTTCTAGCACTGAGTAATGGAGACTACAGCTGGAGAGCCTGGCAACTACATGCTGTTCGCAAAGATCATCAGCCTAGACTAATAAACGCAGGCTGTGATTGGCAGTGCCACAGCGAGTGGGACATCACCTGAATTCATATTCAAGATGCATTTTTTTCTAAATAAAAATGCTACCAGGACCCAGAGTCTTTATTCCTTGTCAGTCATATGAGCTATGGGGTTTTAGAGGGGAAGGCAGGGGCTCATTGTATTTTTTTAATTTCATTATTCCATCCTCATTTTGCAGAAATGAGTCAAATGGAAAAAATGACATAGAAGTAAAAAGACATTAGAGATAGCTGCTTTGTGCCATGTGATCATGTTAAATAATCCTGGGAAAAGCAGTTTAAAACATTTATTATTGTTTAGGATTAAACAAATACTTCATATCCAATGTTTACTGCTTTGCTCTAATTTCTGGGTTGTTTCTATGGAAATAGAATATTGCTTGTAATTTGTTGATTCTTTAAGCCTCATTTTGGATGCTTCTTCAAGTGTCTAACTTGTCTTCATTGTTTGCTTTGTACAGAGCTGGGATTGCCAGTGCTGAACCATGCATATATTGAGACAGGGCCTCACTGTGTTGCTCTAGCTGGCCTGGAACTTGCTATGGAGTCAGGCCAGCCTTAAATTGCCTGTCTCTGCCTCCCCGAGTGCTGGGATTAAAGGTATGACAGTGGTGCACCACCTCACCCAGCAAGAACTTTTTTGTTTGTTCGTTTCTTGGTTGTTTGGTTTTTGCTTGTTTGTCTCAGACAGGATCTCCTGCAGCCTAGAATTGTTTTGAACTTCTAACCCTCCTGCCTCTACCTTCCAAATGCTGGGATTACAGGTGTGCGCCATCATACCCAAGAAACTTCATCAAGACAACCTCCTACCACAGTTGGTATGGAGGTTTTAAGATGTATTTAATTATACATATGTGTGTGCACATGTGCATGCATGCACATACATGTGGCAAAGGCCAAAAGAGGATGTGAGACCCCGGGGAGCTAGAGTTATAGGTGGTTGTGAGCAACCCAATGTGGGTGCTGGGAACTGAGCTCTGGAAAAGCAGCAAGTGCTCTTAACCACAGATTTCTCTGTCCATCTCTCCTTTGCTTGTTTTAGGGTGTTGTTTTTATATCTAGTTAGCTATTTATTGTATTATGTCTATGTGTGTGCACAGAGCAGGGGGTCAGAGGATGACTTGTGATAGTCGATTCTCTCCTTTTATCATATGGGTCCCAGGGATCAAACTCCGGTCATCCAGTTTGATGGCAAATGCCTATACTCACTGAGCTATCTCTGGAACATGCATGATAAGGAGGTTTTGCTTGGAGAATTTCTTCCTGCAGAACCTTTAGGTGATTCCCCACAGGACATGATAGGTTTGATCTGGATGTAGTCTGTGGGTGTTTGGAGAGAACAGAATGTCTGTTCAGGGAACATCCTCCACAAAGAAGCCAGACAGTTGCAGCTGTCACTCAGCCTGCAGAAATAACCTCAGTATCAGTGAACAAAGTCAGGATTAGAGGGCTACTCATCAGAGAAACTCACTAGGGAACTGAATCCAACTTTCATCACTTTTAGCGGGGTTAGCATGCCATTAATGCATCTGAAACCCAATTTGTGTTCTGCTCCTGAGCAGGAACTGGAGTCAAAGATGGGGCAGCTCAAGCAGAATGCCCTAGAATCCTACCCCACAGTCAGGTGTGCTTGAAGGAGCAAGGAGCATGTGCCTGAGACTTTGTGGCTCGAGTCTGCAGCCCAGGCCACCTCAGGCTAGCAGCTGGCTAAACTGATAAGATAATGAGAGCGCCATATTCTTCATCTCAACAGAAACCTTTTCTAACATGGCATTGAAGAAAGGCCATTTTCTCACCTACTACCCCAGCAGGCCTTGTATAGCCCTGGATCTCAACAGGAGACCTTTTCTGATACAGCATCCGAACAGAGCTCCATTCTGTTCCATCATCCCAGCACAATTTTACGTTGATCATCATCCCAGAAGTATCCTCTCTTGATTCATCATCCCAGCAGAACTCTCTCCTGATCCGTCATCCCAGGGGAGTCCCCTTCTAATCCATCATGCCAGCAGAACCCTCTGCAGATCCATCATGCCAGCAGAACCTTCCTATGATCCATTGCCCCAGCAGAACCCTCTGCAGATCCATCATGCCAGCAGAACCTTCCTATGATCCATTGCCCCAGCAGAACCCTCTGCAGATCCATCATGCCAGCAGAACCTTCCTATGATCCATTACCCTATCAGAACCCTCTGCAGATCCATCATGCCAGCAGAACCCTCTGCAGATCCATCATCTCAACTAGGGCCTTCTGATTCCAGATCCCAGTAGAAAGAGCCCTCTGCCAATCCATATCCAGCAGTAAGTCATCTTTCCTCCTCTCGGAGTGTCCCTGACCCTAGAGATGGCCAGTTCCCCTGTTCTCTGGTTCCGATGCCCTTCAGGCCCGACTACCTCAGCACTCTCCACCTAGACCTCTGTCGCGTGTTCCTTATCTTGTCTCTGCACAGCAATCCCTGTTCAATGTTCCAGTTGTGGCCCTCAAGGTCCTGGGACACACACTACTGAATAACACTGGGGTGAGCCATGGGAGCTATTTGCACCACGGACCATATTCCTTCTGCACTCGACCTAGAATTTATATTACTAAGGTTCTACTCCTCCTTGTTCCCTCTGCACTGAAAAGAACTACCCACCCCCACCCTCTGCCTGCTGCCCAGGTCTTGAGTTATGACACTTTTAATTAAATTACTTTGCCAGAAGCTCTTCACTCAAAAAGCAATCGCTCTAATTGCTCATTTTGGGATCTGATCTGCTACTTCCTTGACAGAGAGGCCTGTGGCGATGACGTTAGCAGAAATTAAATGTCTACATCTATATATCCTATCGGTACCCACAGGTGCTTGTGCGTGCGCATGCAGACACACACACACACACACACACACACACACACTATTTAAAGGGACTTTTCCTATCTACCTGCTGCATTTTACAAATCCCGAAGAAGTCACACCTCTCTGCCTGTGACTGGTCTGATTCTTCTACAGGAAGCTAGCATCAAACATCACTAAGCCACTCAGTCCGGAGCCCTGACTCCCCTGCTGTGGAGAAAGACACACAGACTAGACCTTTATAGAGGCCGTGGTCCGTGCAGCATAGGCGCCTCCCTGCCTGCCCTCATGTCTATTCCCTGAATCTCTTTGAGAAGGGCAAACACCTTGAGGCTGGATCCCCGTGTATCCCCGCCCTCAGACAGGAAACTGCTCACCAGACAGAACTAGGACCACACCAATTCCTCTGTGCTGACCGGCTGTGTGCTTTTGACTTGGGCTTAACCTCTCTGGGCCACAGTTTCCCTATCTGTGCAACGGGCAGCTGATTTCCGCGATGAGACCAGGAGGCTGCAGTGCGCTGTACGTGGCTGTAAGCATGCCTGCGCTGTTGCGCACACGGGCCCTGTCTCACCCACGATGTCTCTGTTCACATCTCCGCCAGTGCGGACAGGCCGGCCCCACTGAGAGTGGAAGACTGGATACAACTGCACTGTGGCTTCCATGGGCCCCGAGGTCCGCAAGCGCCTTCGTGAGCTCATCGTCCATAAAACAAGTTTTCGAATTACAGCTTGTGGCTGGTGCGAACAGGAATCAACGTTATATTTTAAAAACGCTTCTTTCGGCCTAAGAGCTCATTTTTCTTCCAATTTGAAAAGAAACTGAAACACGTTCGTCTTTCCCAAGTCCTCAGTCAGCCTGGACACACTCCAGCAAGATCCGCATCCAGCTGGCACCACGTGCCAGCCAAGACTCTTCCTTCCCCCGGGCTCCAGGAAGAAAGCCAGGACAGATTCTAACTGGACACTTAGGTCACATGGCCATCCCTTAGCCAATGCCAAGAGCATGGGCTGGAACATGCTGATTAAGGGGTGTGACTTGCTGGCTCCTGGGGCTTTGCCTCATTCCTTTCTTGAAATCAGTTGCACTGAACAAGGGCACCCCAACAAACAAACAAGACAAAATAAACAATAACAAAAACAAACTTGCACACAACAGGTGAGTACCAGAAAGGACAGCTGACTCCCGCCTTAGAAACCATGTAACGGAATAGGACATGATACAACAGGTCCACAGCCCAGGGACTCCTTTCCAAGGAGGGACAAAGATGCAGACTGGCACACAGACATCTGCATCTCTGTGTGGGATTGTACCCCGCAGTGCCTAGAACCTCAGAGAGCACCAATGTGGTCCAGCCCAGGGTCAGAATCTGTTCCACAGTGGTGCTGTGTCCTCAGGGAATGTGGACACTGGGTCCTTTTTTGTCCCCAGAGGAGGAAGAGTCAGTGGCAAAGCTTTGTGCCATATAGGCTAGAATCCTCCTTCCTGAACAACCCTGTCTGGGACAGAGATGACTGACTCCCAGATGGAAGAGCCCCCAAGAAGGCATCCCTACTTGCTGCTAGGTAGAGCCCCTTGTGTGAGTCTCTCACTGGCTGAACGCTGGCAGGCTTTACTCGGTGACAGAGCACCCTAGTTGCTTCTGAGCACACAAGGGTCTGTCCTTGGTGCCAGGGGTGCCGGACACGCAGCTCCTGGGATGCTGCTGTTGAGACATCTTCCCAGATCCCGGAAAGCACATCCAGGTGCCCTTCAGACTCCAGGTAGAGTCAGAGCTCTGAGCCGTACACATGGACACACGCATGAGAGTGCTTGTGTGGACACATACTCTCCACATGCACGTGGAGTGTAGGCCAATGCTGTGCGCATGCCCAGTCTCCCTAGCCATGTGACACATCACACGAGCGTCCAGCTTGCTCTCTTAAGATAGTACCTGGCTTCACTTGCCTGTGCTTTCCTATGGCAGCTTTGCGTCTTCTGTCTGAGAAGGAAGGAGGGAGGCAGGGAGAAAATAAGGGAGAGAAGGAATGAAAGGGGGAGAGAGGGAGGGGCAGCAGGGCTGGTGGATCCCCCTCCCATCTTCCCTGATAGAAGAGATCAGGGGTCAGTGGAAAGAAGGAAACCATAGCTGGACTGTCAGGAGCAGAGGAAGATTGCAACATGAAAGGCGTGGAGAGAGCCACACAAGGCTTCCTTGTGTACGGAGCAGCCTCTCCAAAGCTGGGATTTCCACTTAGGAGGGTGCGGGGATAAAGGTCAGCCAGCTGCAATGTGTGGCTTTGTGGGGTCACCCAGGTCTTTTTCTAGCTCCATCCACAAATGGGAAGGGGAGGCAGGAACCAGGCTCCAATGTGGGCAGGGGTGGGCTTAGCCGGGTCTATTTCTAGCTCCAGCTATTGAATGAGGCGGTTTGCTGGATGAGACATTAGACCCCCGCAGCTGTGACCTCACTAAGAGCAAAAGTCACAGTTCTCAGAATGGGAAGGAGGCCAAGGGCCCAGTTGCAAGAAAGAATGGGGCTGAGGCTTCCATACTGGAGGAAGCTCCCCCTAGGGACCCATGGGAAAGAATCGCCTTGTCACCTTCCAGCACTCCCGTTGCTAGGCAAAGCACCACTTCGTCCTTGCCAAGTGCTCACCTTTCTCATAACCATGCCCATTCTTTCCCTTACTCTATCCCAAAACTGCAAGCCACCCTCTAGGTCCCCATCAAAAGCAGCAGCCATCCACAACAGGGCATGGGTGCTGCCCTCTGAGTCTCAAGTGCCCGGAAGGTGGCTAGGCAGTGCCCACACTCCACAAAACATCCAGTGAGTTCGCATAGTGATTATAGCCACAGGGCAAGCCGTGGTAAACAACAAACAACACCAACCTGGAGCCTGGGCCTGGGCTTGCCATGGATGTCAGTCCTAAAGGGACTGCATGCACCACCATGCTGCAGGGTCTGCTCCCAAAGCCTGAGTCACAGTCCAGTTCTCTTTGCTCCCCTCTGTAGGAGGGCGAAGGATGATGGGAGTCTGAGGGGGTTCCTGGGACGAGATGAAGGATTACATATGCAAATGCTGAGGTCAGTCTCCCACACTGAGCATCAACACATACCCTGTCACCAGGATCCACATCAGCAACTGATGGTCCCCTGATTCACAGAGGAATGGGGAAGAGGGCCGTGGCTGTGCTGTGGGGGAATGGCCCTCTGGCACTCGTCGGGTTTAAAACAGTGATGGGGGAATAGGCAGTTCTTGCTCTTGTACCGGTCGCAAAGCCCAGACCTCAGTGAACCTCATGTGGGCTTCTCAGCCTCAATCACTGAGCTGCAGAACCCGAAACTACTACAGAAAGTTCTACTGCATGAGGGCCAGTGAGATGGTTCAGCAGATGAAGGTGCTTGCCACCCAGGCTGACGACCCAAGTTCAGTCCCCAGAACCGACATAGCAGAGGACCGAGTCCTGATAGCTGTCCTCTGAACTCCCCACTCATGCTGTCACGCACCCACGTGCACAGACACACACATATACACAATAAATAAAAATCATTTTAGTGTTTCCTTGATGGATAGCAGGAGACGAGAGCAATTTCTACCTACCTGGGTCTCAGAAGGGGCATTTCCACATGGGTCATCAGCAAAAGGTCCCCTACATGGCTCTCCTGTTCCCTGGCCTTCCTGGCCAGGGCTGCTCGGCTGAGCTGAGCAGGAAACCTTCTCCAAGCTGGAGTTCAGGATGGCAGATGGGGAAAGCTCTTCTGGCTGACCCTGTCCCCACTGAGACTGCCTCTACTTCTGTTGTCATGACAACCTGAGACCGCAAACATCCTCCTAGTGAACTGCCATGTCCATTGAGTGTCCTTGTAGGAACACAGCAAGCACGAAGTCTCCCTGAAGCAAAGTGACCTTTGGGGCGATTAGACCTCAGGCCAGAGCCAGCTCAGAGCAATGGGACTGAATTCATGAGTCATAAAGAAAATGTTGAAGTGCCCCCCAGGTACTTTGGGGGTGTGGGAGCCAGGCTTCTGTGGGAGAATAGGATCCATTCACACAGGTAGCCTAACAAGCCAGTAAAATCCAGTGTCTTGTCATTGTCCCTCAGAGTGACCCCAGGCTGCTGTATCCCAGGAAGTATAATTGCCCACTCTGTGTTCTTCAGGCTGAGCTCAGGCCTCCTAATGCAGTGGCATATGGGGAATGGCCAGCTTCAAGCCCAGGGCAATCTCGTAGCTCAGGCCCCAGGCCTCCTCCCTGCCCTGTAGTGCCCCCTCAACTTCTATGCCCTCCCCATCCCACAGCCAATCAGGGTAGGACCACTGAGACAGAGTCTCCTCCAAGCAGGCCCAGCTGACAGCCCAGCCCTGCACAATGGCGCTGCCAAGAGAATAGAGGCTCTGATCGTATGGCTACCGTGAACTGGGGCAGCATAAATAAAATCAGCCCCAGGTCTCGGGACAAAGTGGGGAAAGAGAGGCTTTAGTTCAGCCTGGAGCTTTACCTGAGAGAGCAGATAACAGAGCCTCTTCCCTAGACACCCTTCCAGGTCCAGAGGAGCCGTGCTCTGGGTTTGTAGGGACCCCTGGCAGGAGTAAGGCTGCCTCCTCCTAGTAGTTGAGACAACCCTCCAGCTTTTGCTCATGGAAGCCTGCAGGTGTCCTCAGGGAAAGGATAATCAGAACATAGGGTACAAGGAGCCTCCACAGGTGTCCACAGATGAAGAGAGCTGGGTACCCTGTTTTCTCCAAGGCTGTGATATCATCCCCACACCCCGATGTCCCCAACTCCGGGATATTGTCCCAGCCTTCCAGCCTACCTTTATCACCCAAGCCTCATTTTCTGATTGACTGCTCTCTTCTAGTACACTAGGAGGCTAAAACACAGCCACGGGCCTCTCGCTAACTAATGAGAGGCAGCAATTAGCCCTTTACAGCAGAGCAAGCGCTGGTAATGGGGTTTCTAATTCTGGAGGGGAATAAAGATTTAAACTACGTTCAGAGCAAACACACGTTTGGAGTCTAAGATGTTTTCAATTCTGGGTTCCGTTCTAGTAATTAATCAGATGGAGTTGTTAAACTTCATGGGAAAGACCAGAGACAACGCTCCCTCACAAAACATCTGAGAGGTGGAGTAACTTCCTCTCTGAGATCCACCAGGGCCGAACACATGGATGCTGCCTCAAAGGGCACGGGATGAAGGTATGGAAACGTATCGTGCTGCCTTTGACTCTAACAATACTGAGCAGGGCCACTGCTCCCGCCTAGAGCTGGGCTCCACATACACGACAGGGTCCCAGCTCCACACTGGCTAGCCCTGGGCAGCTCTGAGCCTCAGTTTCCTTGATGAGGACTTCACTCTGTAGTTCCAGATCATTCACGTGGGACCTGTCACTGATGACGTCTTCAGAGTGTCCCAGATGTCCCTGCTACCCATCTGCCTTCTTCCTGTGAATTCAGCTGGTAGAGTCTGCTTTCCACCATCCTGAAAATGCCGAACATCAATCTATAGGGAACAGCCCCCAGAAGTTGTCACCTGCACCTGAGTATATACCCCTCCCCAACCTGTACCCACCTCCCCGCACCAATGTCTGTGTCCCTCCCCCAGCTGTGTGCACCGCCTCTGTACCTAAATCTGTGTGTCCCCCACAGCCTCTGTCCACCTCCCCTGAACTTGGATCTGTGCCCCTCCACAACCTGTGTCCCCCTCCCCTGCACCCAGATCTGTGTCCGTCCCCCACCTATGTGGACCTCCCCTGACTCTGGATCTGGTCAGAAGAGAGCTATCCTGTCGTTTCCCCCCCTCCACCCCAGACCACCCTCCCTTCTCTCCCCAGTCTTGTGCAGACCCTGATGGTGGGGGGGTGGGAGGGAGTGGGGGAGACCAGGACACATCAACTTAGCCGGGGGGCGTGCTGGCCCCTCTAGACTAGCAGGCCTCACACCTGTTCTACAGACCGCAAGCCGGCATGTTGAAAGGTGTCTTCTCTCGTGCTTTTGAGCTGACATTTAATGTTTCTTTTCTAAATCTGGAGTCTGGTTACACAGAACACAACCCCTCCGGTTTGTAAACACTGACATTTCACACTCTAACTGCTGTCTCTTTCCCAAGGATCCAGTGCACCGCCGACATCACATTCTCTCTATTTTCTCTTCTCAGCCTCACCTGCCATGGAATCTACAGGAAAGTTCACAGGCCCCGCCCCGGACTCTCGTTCTCACTGTTCCCGTGTCTCTGGGGCTGTGCTGAGCTGCTGACAGATACGATTCCTCTGTAGAGCCGACTTTCCTAGAGCAGGAGCTCAGTCTGTTTGGTCATTTTCTCCCCCTCCACCCACACCTGCAGGGCCAAAGTCCAAAAACAAAGTAGTTACTGTGTCTGCAAAGCTCCAAGGGTTAGTGTGTTCTTCTGGATCACGTTTCCCTGTGTTGTTGGCAGACGAGTTATCAATACAGCATCAGCACCCTCTGTGTTTATCTTATTACATAAATATGCACCTTCATTATGTAGTATGTCATTTGTAACACACCCTGCGGAGTGTGCATCATAGGTTCGCCTATTTAACACCTATTTACATTTCTTTAGGAAGGAGATTACAGGCTTGTTCATGGAAGGACATATTATGGAAATGTTTCCTGTGGGCACACAAAAACCTGCAGCTTCTCCGCTCTGAGGTGGGATGCTGCAGCCTTGCATGCCACGCTGCTGGTCTGTTTCATAGGTGCCTGAGCTTTGAATTAGACACTCTCACACATCGGCGCCCCTGGGGGAATTGCACTTTGGCTCAGCTGGTGGAAGAGGAAGCCCACTGTCACCTCCATCTTCAATTTGCACTCCCTGGTCATCAGCTCTTAGCTTTCTATAACTGCAGGAGCCATGTGTGTCCCTTCTAACACAGCCCCATGATCCCAAATCTATTTTCTTGTCATCTGCCTCACACCCCCCGGTCCTGTACCTGCACTCTGCTCTCTGTTCCCAGCTGTCCAGAGCATGGGGGACATGGAATGGAGCCCTGTAGAGTCTGAGTTCCTCCCTTGGCTTCCCTGACTCACATAGACTCGCCCCCACTTCCTGTCTCCACTGTCAGCCCTAGTCAGTGCTCAGCCTTGACTGCTGGGTCGACATGCCATGAGTCCACATCTCTCCACAGACTGAGGGACTCCAGTGTCTGTAGCCACAAATGAAGCTGGGAGCATTTCTCCATGTGGAGGTCTATGCAGTCATCCATCTTTTTTCTCTTGAGCAGGCCCTGGGTTTGTGACTCCTAAGTGTTATTTAATCCATCAGAAATTGCTGGGCTTACACCAAGTAAACATCACCACACAGACTTCCCATTCCTCTCATTTCTTAAAAAAAAATTCAGCAAGGTGACTTAATGGATAAAGGCATTGGCTGCCAAGCCCAGGGGCTTGGGTCAATACCCAAGACTCACAATGGAAAGAAAGGACAGACTCCTGTGGTGTACACATGAATGTGTGTGTGTGCAAAATGTACACACAAATAAATAATAATAAGCAAATAAGTATAATAAAAAATAAATTGGCCATGCTAATGAGTGTTTGTGTCAGAGTTACTTTCTCACTGTTTTGATCACTATGTCAAAAGCAGCTGAAGAAAGAATGGGGTTTGGGGAAGCTCACAGTTATAGAGGGGACACAATTCACCGTGGTGAGAAAGCCATGAAAACAGGCAGGGGATATACAGTGGTCGGAGCAAGAGAGTTGCTGGTCAAACTGCACCCGCACTCAGGAAACAGAGAGAGATTAATCCAAGCTGCTGACCAACTCCCTTCCCCCACTTATCCCCAGTCCACGATCCCAGACAGGGAATGGTGCCACCCATAGTAGGCATGTCTTCCCACATGAACTAATATACTCTAAATAAGTCCCCACTTGCATTCCCGGAGATCTACTAGGTGAATCTGACAATTCTGAAGCTTGCAGCTCCACCTTTAAATTCTTCATAACTCATGAAACTTAGCATATCTTCCCTTGTGTGACTGCTGCTTGTACACTGGGGAGGAAGATGTCTGTGAAACGCTTGCCAGTTAAAGAACACTGAGGTCTTTGTTTGGTTGTTATTGTGTCTGAGGTTATTTTTGTGTCCTGCACACAAGTGCATTGTCACATATGAATTGCAGATGTTTCCTGCCCAGCTGTGGCCAGCCTGTCACTCTCTTAACAGTGTCTTCTACAGAGTAAAAGATTTTTAACTTTGATGGAATCGACTGATTTTTCTCTATGGCTCGTGCTCTCAGCCTCCTCTATGCCAAGGTCACAAAAATGGCTCCCTTTCTCCTCTGAGAAATTGCAATCTTGCATTTCACATAATGTCCTTGGTACATTTGGAGGCAGTTTTCACAGATGGTCTGAGGTCATTTTTGCTCAATTGCTAAGATGATGTGCAGTAAAAAGTCTCTTTCCCCTGGCCAACAGCCTGACATGCAAACACATGGTAAATAATAATAATTGATACAGAAATCATCTCAATCACTCACACTTGTTGAAGGAATGAAGGGACAGGAGAGCCCTTACTGCCCTTGATTGACATGAACACAGGCGATGGACTCTGTGTCAGTGTGGTGTTGGTATCTTTGCTTCTGGACTCAGGAAGGAGTCACCAGCCCCAACACATTTTTCCCCTAGAATCATGGACACTCCAGGGGACCACATCTCAGATGGCCTTACATTCTAGCACTTTCCATGATCCTAGGCTTCCAGGGTGTTTTGGGATTCGTCTGGATGATGACTGGGCCATGGTAGCTCCCAGGCCCCTGAATTGGAGGCCCAGCTCCTCTCTCTTAGGCTTGGGGGCCCAATGCTACTCCAGCTCCTCCACTATGGTGCGTGCCTGGGAGTTGACT